CATTTTTTGTTCCCGGGATCGATGAATATCGATGAGCGCAGTTAGCTCGAGCGTCGATTAAACGGCCCCGAGCGTCGTAACAGCGTTTCCGCATTAACCGATGCGATGCGGCGAAACGAATAGGCGATTAAGCTTTCACGCGCGTTGAAAAATTTGCGAACCACTTGGCGAATCGCGAAAAACACAGTTTGATATTTGATTTCGCGAATATTTTTCGCGCCCGGGCGAGTGACGATTTTTTGGTTATTGATCCTCTTTCGGCCGCGGTAGAAATTTACTGCGTGAGCGTGCGGGCGGACGGGCGTACCGCGCCGCGCCGCGCCGAGTAGTTGTAACTCTCGTTCGATCCGATCCGATGGCGATGGCGCCCGCGGCACGCTGCCAGCCCGATAATTAGCGCCCGTTTAATATGCACAATTATTACGGATTGATAATCGGGGCTGCGCGTCCATTACATCGGTATGGAGATAGATGGTAATAGGTTGCCATCGATATTAGCTCTCCTCTTTCGCCCGTACATCCCCCGCATCGTCCGCTTCTCCTCTTCCCCTCCGGCTCTCCTCTGTGAATCCTCTTTCGTTTATCCCTCCCCCCCCTTCCCCCCTCCCCCCCTCACCGTCCCCCGTTTGCCGCACTGACCGAGCACCTTCCGCAGTTTCAAACTGCCATCCTGAGGGCTGCGAAATTGAAATATGAATGCTAATGGGGTTACTCGCCCCAATATCGTATAATACTCAATTGTTGGACAGGTAAATCCTGCTGCTCGACGCTGCCATATCTTCGTACATCCCGAAAACACTTCGGATCGATCCTACGTCGTACCCTACATTAGTCTCGTCTCTCTTTACTTAACGCGTTAATAATTTAAGCGGCCATAAATTTTATAGAGGCGCGCTATCCCACGCGCGTAGCCCGATTGCGGAGCTCGCCACCCCCTTTAATCTGTCAAGAAGTTTCGCCGTATATATATACCGTATATTGATCGACAGTCCGATCTCGGCACGGAGGCGTCTATCGTCTTCTTTTTAACGGGAAGGGAGTTCCGAACCATCGAACAAATTGACGCCGTACTTACCGAGTTCCGAGGAGCGAAGAATTACGTTCCCATCGATCCGCTTTCTCGCGTCACTTTGAATTTATACCACCTCACCGGCGGCGGCGGCGCGCAGCGGGTTGCACGATAAAACTTCTATTCCGCACGGCGGCTCGTTACCCAACTGTACTTTCGTGTCCCTCCTCGCCCCTCCCGGTCCGCCCCAGTGCAATCCGATCTGGTGATTGGATCGACGAGGAGGAACGGTGCTTGCGGAAAAGGGGCAAACCGATGCGAAAAGCTAGGAGAGGAAGAGAAAAAAGATCTCCGAGAGAGAAGGAGACGTATATATACGTATGTACAGAGACAGAGAGAGAGAGAGAGAGAGAGAGAGAGAGAGACGAGAGGAGGAGAG